TTGCTCCCAGAAGTTTGTTTGCTCTATTTTACAGGATTTTCTACAAACAGAACAAATCCTGCTGCCTGTGAATAAGCAGTTGCCGTCTTCCTTCCCGATCAAGGCAGTGAAGGCTTTCATTTATTTTTCTAGCCAAAGGCTGGGTTGGGTGGTGGGGGGACGCCCGGGCCTTGCTCCTGACTTTATGTTCAGTTCTGCATTTACATTTCGCCTTCTGTTGGGTTGCTTTGAAATTTCCCTAAGGTGTGTTTAGATGGATATGGTCCCACCCTGCTGCCCTGTTTTTGCTTATTTTATTTTGCGGCTTCTTTGTGTCCTCGATCTAAGAGCTGATGGTTTTAACATCCCGGAAAATCAGCCGCTCGCGCGTAGCCTCCCGTCTCTGTCTTTCTGTTGCCTCTCCTGGGCTTCCAAGCTGGTGACTCAGACTCTTCACTCCGAGCTCCTGGCTCCGTCCTTCCGTGGTCTTGCTTTCCTTCGTCTTTCTGGACTGCGTTCTGGGTAAGGTGTCTTTGTTGTGTGCTGTGTTTTGGTGCTGGGTTGAACCCACACTGATCTGCACCCCGACCCTTTTGATTTTTTACTTTGAGACAGGGTCTCACTACGTCACTGAGGTGCCCAGGCTGGGCTTGAACTTTCCATTCTCCTGCTTCAGCCTCCCAGAGGGTCTTTCTTCAAAAACAACTATTTTCCTGTTTACTGTTCCGCTTTTATCTCTTAATTTTTCATTTTGAAATAATTCCAGACATACAGGTACGTTTCAAGGACGGGGCGATGGGGGTTCCCCAAGCCAGGGGACGAGTGGGGGCACAGCTGCGTGTCACCTGGGCCTGCCGGGCACCCCTGTGCCCCACGGAGTCCTTCCTCCTGGCCGGAGTCGTCACGTGTCCGCGTCTCCTCACGCCGCTCACCTCTCGCCGGGGCAGCCCAGCTCTCTGCCTGTGCGCTCGGTGGGCTGGGGAGGACCGGCCGTGATGGGGTGAACTGGCCCCGATCTGGGTTTCTGATGTTTCCTAGGGATTGGGTTCAGGCGACCACAGAAGGAACGCAGGGCCTTCCCGGGGCTCCCCAGGGAGGTCGTCCCACGGGACATGCGTGGAGTCCACTGGCCCGGGTGACACCCACCGGTGTTCTGTGCCCTGAAGTCGCTGGCCCCCTCCTCCCCACCTGATCTTCACGGTCTCCACGGAGAGCCTCGCAGGACACAGCCCGGGTCTCATTGCCTCTTCCCGCTAGTCTCAGTGCCAGGGACTGTTCTCACTGCAGTCATTACTTGCTTGGGAGACTGTTTCCTCCTCCCTCCGCCCTCCACTCCTGCTGCCCTTTCTCCCTCCCTCCCTCCCTTCCTTTCCGCCCTCCTTCGGAAACCCCTGAGAAGTAGACTTCTCTTTCTGCCCTGCTGTGGCGTTACTTCCCGTGGCCCTCACTGTAGTTGTCCATTCGGCTCTTTTCCAAATCTGCACTGTTGTCTTCTCCAGGCTCCAAGTTTCAGGCCTTTCTCTTTGGTGTTTCAGACTTCTCTGGTCTGAGGCCGGCCTGGGTGGGGCCTGCTAGCCCCTGCTCCTACTGCCGCTGCCTGAGGGTTAAGGATTTTCTTTGTAAGACTGTGGACTGTCCTTTTTCCCAGGAACTTTACTCAGATACTTTTTGTTTGTTTGGTTTTTCTGAGACAGTCTCACTGTGTAGCCCAGGCTGACCCAGAGCTTGTGGCGATCCTCCTGCCTCAGCCTCTCAAGTGCTGGGATGACAGGCGTGCGCCACTGTTCCTGGCTATTCAAATACTTAGAAGCCTGAGTTGATGGCAAGATATGTAGAAGGGGCTTGCTTTGTTTTAAATTCTATTTTCCCAGTCTCCAGGGCAGGACACACCCACTTCAGTTCAGCTTCCTGTTGAGGGGCGGGGCCGCAGATAATGGCCCTGGACTCAGTGGTGCATTCTCAGGGGTCTCATTTCTGCTGCCCAGCTCCAGGTTTGATTTGGGACAATTGAGGTCTCTGTCCTCTGCCTTGCGGGTGTCCCCCTCACCCCCTGTGTGTGCAGGGGGTTGGCTCTTGGGGCCTGGCTACGAGGGACCCCACACCCTCCTGGCTCCTGCCTCTGGCTCCTTGGACACTTCCTGCCCCATGGGAGGGGACAGCCAGGGCCCCAGGACAGCAAGGGATGACACAGAGGGCTCAGCCCAGAAACGTCCGCCCTGTGGACTTTGCTGTCAGGTGGAGACCCCACAGCTCTGGAACGCAGCCTGTGTCTGTTAGCTTGGCTCTGTCCATAAATGAGCTCACACACCCCGCCTGCATCACAGGCTCGCAGGACAGGAAGCTGGTGTTTTAAAGCACTGTAAACTAGCTTGGAGCTGGGGGTGACCCCTCGGAAGCTGTTCTATGTAATGCCACTGTAATTTGCCGTTCCAAGACGCCCAGGACAGGCCAGCATAGCTGCAACTGCACCAGCCCTCTTTCCTCCCATCCCAGTCTGAACCCATCCCTGGGGACCTGTGGCTGCCAACGCCCCCTCCTTTCTTGTCCCCTCTGTCCCACCCTCTCTGCTCCCCGACAGTCCACCCTTGTGCCCCTTTCCCTTGACTGTTTTCTGTGCCTCATTGACAGCTGGCTTGGGGTCCCGGATGTTGGAACCTCACTGTGGGACACAGGTTAGGCCCACGAGGACAGCAGCTTGTCCGGGAAGCTGCTCAGGGCAGCTGACAGGAGCAGCAGGACCCTGGCTCTGGCGGGTCCCTGAAGGGAGGGCCCCGCCCCGCCGGAGCCTCCAGGAAGCCCAGGGCGCAGCTCCCTGGGGTGCAGGTCTCTGCCTGTGGCTCAGGGGGACTTCCTAGAGCCCGACAGTGTCGCCCGCGTCCCCAGCGCTGGGCCCCTCCCAGGAGGAAGGGGGCGGCTTCCATGGGCACTGCTGGGCAGTGTGGACCGGGGCCTCAGGGCCGCTGACTCAGCTGGGGCGGCGGGTGGGAGTGGCAGGGCGGGGCTGCCCTTCCCAAGGTCTCTTCCGGCTCCGTACGGCCCCTCCCTCCCGGCGCCTCCCCAGGGGCTTGGAGCCCGCACGGAGCCCATCTAGGGAAGGCTGTGCATCGGACCCAGCGCAGCCAAGGCCTTCCCTTCTCTCCGGGTGCCTTGAGCCCCTTAGCCTTGGAAGGTCAGCTGCCCACCAGCCTTCTCCTTGCTCCAGACCAACTTCTTGGGCACAGGAGGAGGGTATGCTTCTAATTCTCACTCGGGTGTGAAAGACTGATAAGGGCTGTGATAAGGACTACCTCAGGACAGAACCCCGCTGAGCATAGAAACCAGTCTCGGGAACAGCAGGAAGCCACGCCTGGCAAGGCTGGATTTAGTTCTACGTTTAACTTTTACCTACTGGTGCTGGGGAAGCAGATAGATCCCTCCCTGTGGTGGGACGCGGGCAGCTCTGCAGGATGGTGCTGACCCTTCTATAAGATTTCCTGGGTTGGGGTCTCCTGGTGGCTGCTCCCCCGCTCCCTCACAAGCGCCCCCTGCAGAGGGCCGAGGGGGGTGCTCTGCTCCCTTAGGCTCTGCTGCTCCTCTGCCCTTTGGGGACGGGGTCAGGCTCCAGGGGCCCCGAGGGAGGCCGACGTGAGGTCTGCGTCCAGAAGACCGAGCTGAAGCCAGATCCAACTGGAGGAAGCAACCGCAGCTCGGGAACTTCCCCTCCGCCTCGGCCTTTGGACGGGCACCTGGGCCGCGTGTCCCCTGCAGGGTGGGTGTGGTGCAGCTGCGGCCTCTCCTGCACCTGTGACCTGGGACAGCTCTCCTGGGGCTGCTGGGAGGGACAGGGCTCCCCTGGGAGGGCCCAGGCCCTAGTGCTAGGCCAGCCCTGTCCATTGGATGGTGACACAAACAATGTCCTCTCCCCAGCGGGCTGTACCTCACAGCACAGCCAGGGCACCTTGGCGGGAAGTCGCCGTCCTCAGCTCCCTGCCAAGTGTGAGGTCAGAGCATTAGCCTCTCCCTCGACCCGGCAGAACCATGCAGCAAAATCGTCCCAGTGAGGAGAAAACGGGGCCCTGCCCTGGTCCCTGACCCCCGGGGCAGGTCTGTCTCTTGCTCCTTCCCTTTGAGAAAATGCACAGCCCAGCTCGTTGCCAGCCGGATCCCGTCCTTTGTAACCGGAAACACCACCACCGAAGCCAGAATGCTGGGAGGGGAACGACGGCTGTGGCTTCCAGACTCGGGACGTCCCAGGGCAAGGCGAGGACGACAGCAAGAGCGAGCTGCTTCCTGCAGACCTGGGGGCGGGGCAGGGTTGTGATCGCTATCCCCTGTGACCCCAGTCTGAGCCCCTGCCCCAGCGGGTCCTGTTACTTGGGGAGGGTGAGGCCAGCGCCGTCCTGGGTCACCAGGGACAGGTCTTCTTGTTTTTTCAGGGGCTGTGACCTCAACCTCGGCCTGAGTAACCCCTTTCCTGGGAAGGGTGCACAAGTGTGAGTGTGTATGTGTGTGTGCGTGTGTGTGTGCAAGAGGGAGAGAGAATGACGGGACCTGCGCCCTCCTGTGAGGTCCTAACACACAGCCCCGTGTCTCCAGTGAGAGGAAGCTGGTCCTCCCCTCACGGGGGACGCAGACCGACCTCAGGCCGCCTCTCCAAGGGTGTGGGCAATCAAGGGCAGACCCTGGGCTCAGGAGAAGTCTGCGCTAGGAAACGTGGGCACAGAGGGGCGGAGGGGGTCTCAGGCTGGGCCTGTCTCTGTGCTGGGGTCCTGGGGAGCCAGCTGCCTGCTGGTGCCTCAGTTTCTCCACAGGTAGACTCCCGAGAACCTCCGTCCTCAGAGACCAGCAGGGCCTGGGGGGCCCGGCTCGTGAAAGCACGCATTGTGAGCAGGGCCCCGAGTGACTGCTGCAGCTGCAGCGCCTGGCTTGGGACTTGGTGGCCTTCCATGGTGACCACTATCCCTTGTTGCCATTGACACCCCAACAACACAACACAGACGCTCACAAAGCGACCTGGGAGGAAGCAAGTTGTGTTCCTCTTTCTCAGCAGTTACAGAGCTGCACAGTAGCTTTAGGGTGTGCAGGGCAGGGACCCGGACCAGCAGCATCCCCCAGGAGGTGGACAAAGAGGCGCTGGCCATCAGGGGAGGGACCACGCCTGCAGGGCGACCCTGCCCCACACTGGCTTCCTGTGGGCTGGTTTAAAAGGCAGGTCCTAGGCCCCAGCCCATCCACGTCACCCATGGGTCGCCGCCTGGTGTGCAGTCTTGCCCTGGGTCCTGCCGCTGAAACCTGCCCCACTCCACCCCAGATCCTTTATTCCAGACAGAAGCCCGGTGGGGCGCTGGCCTCCTGCTGCGGCCTCCGCACACGGCCTCCGTGTGTTCGATTACGGCCCACGCCCGCTGGAGAGCTCGCTGCCAAATCACTTTACGGCCGCACACATGGAATCGGCCAGGCTTCCCGCCAGCCTGAAGGAAGGAACTGGTCACGCATCAGTGCAAAGTCCCCAGGGAGAAGCACAGCTCTCATAAGGCTTCTGAGCTGTCCTGAAACCCTCCGGCTGGCTGGCAGGTCCCGACGCGAAAAGCAGAAAGAGGCCAAATATAAGTAAGGCAAGGTGGCTGTAATCCTGGTACTCAGGAGGCCGAGGCAGGAAGATTGCTATGGATTCAGGCCAGCCTGGGCTATAGAGAGCTCAAGGCCAGCTTGGAATACACAGCAAGACCCCATTGCAAAAAAAATTACTAACAAATCCTCTAGATTGTTCAATTTGCCCCAACTTGGATTGATCTGGTGAACATAAAATCACTGTGAAAAATGACTGTAAGGTTTTGTACCTTCTAAAGGACTCGGGCGGGCATTTCCCCGAGAGGACGGAGGACAGCTTACCTTACCTCGTGCTTTCCCGCCTCTCTTCGTCTCTTCTCTGCCTTTGCCCAGGGAGCCCCGGATTCAGAGGTTCTCAAGCTTGGCTGGGGCTGGGGACATTTGAAAATTTCCTCATCTCATTATTCCAGCAGAGCCTCAGCCTGGCCCCCCGAGGGGACAGTTAGGGAACATTTCCCGGCTGACTCTGATGCCTACACAAATCCTTCTGCTCCTCCAAACTCATCCGGTTACTGGAAAAACAAACAGAAAAATACGCAGTGGGTATAGAAGAAACTCGGTGAAATTTGGGCAGTTCCTGAATTCACGGGAAGCAGTGGCCGTCCCGCCCAGGGCCGGACGCTGCCCCAGGCCCCGCGGCACTCTGACCTCGTTCCCTGCCTGGGCGGCTCTTGGCAGCTGCCTCTGTGTGCGGCGTGCTCATGCCAGGGCCGACGGGGACTCAGCCCGGGCTGAACCCCAGAGTCCCGGGGCGGCCACGCACAGCCCGGGCACACGCCTCCCCACGTTTCCTGGGGCTCTCAAGGACTCCAGAGGCTGAGAACCTGCCGTTCTTTCTTCAGGCCTGTGGAGTCCGCTCCTGGTCTGTTACACCTCAGCCCTTTGCTTTGCGTTCAGTCCCAGCCACGCCTTCTTTCCGTGTTCGAATATGGCCAGACGACTTGGTTTGGAGGTCTCCTCACCAGGTCTTGTTCTCATTCCCGAGCTCCTCTTAGATATGTGTGTGGGAGGCTCTTATTCTACTCTTTGTATTATTGTAGCCCCTTTCACATTTTTCACTTCTTCGCCTGCCCTGTTAGCGTTAATTCCTTGCTACAATCTTTCATTTCATTAATTTTCTCTTCAACTGTGTCTACTTTAGGGTGCTAGTGTTCACTCAGTTATCCTGATCTTTACTTTTTTGTTTTCAGGATTTCCAACCAGTTATTTTTCTTTCCTTCTCCTCCTTGTCCTCTTCCTCTCCCTCTTCTTTTTCCTCCTCCTGCTCCTCCTTTTTGTGATACTGGGGAGAGACCCTGGGCCTCACGCATGCTGGCCAAGCCCTGTCCCACTGACTTGCACCCCAAGATCTACCCCCTTTCTAACGTTTAGCTGCTTCTGTGGTTTCACAGCCGCCCTTGGTTGTTTCTTTGACCCCACTGTTGTCCCTTGGCCTGTGTCTTTGATGACGACATGCAATTAAACAACCCCTTTGATGTTTGCCCTGTTATTTAGTTTTCCCCGGGGACAGTCTCCAATTTGCTGCACTTATTATACATTTTTCAATGTGTTTACTCTTCTCTCGGGCTCTGAGATGCCGTCTCCCAGCCACCTGTTATTCAGTGTGTTCAGATCTGCTCTTCCTTCTCTCACCCACTGTGCTAGCGGCTCCGCCCTGGCTACCCCCTCCTGAGGTCAGGCAGGCACCTCATTCAGGGGATGCAGCCTTGTGGAACGCCCGAGCCTGTCCCTAGGAAGGGCGGCTCCCAGCTCCTGCACACACGGGGTGTGAGTGTCCTTTACCCTGGGAGGGGAGTCCTGGTGGTGCCGCTTCTTCTAGCCCTGAACATGAGAGTCCCCAGCCTTCTGTCTCCTGTGCAGTCCCCTTCCGTGCCTGACCCATCACATCTTTTTCAGAACAGCTTTGTACTTAAAGTGTGTGTGTGTGCGTGTGTGCAGGTGTGCATGTAGATACTCTTAAACACATAAAACAGAAAATGCTCATCAAAGTGAGTTTAAAAAGAAGGAGATTTTCTGGTGTGATAGAGCATGTCTATATTCCCAACACTCTGGGAGGCTGAGGCAGGAGGATTGAGACTTTGAGCCCAACCTGGGCAACTTAGTGACTTAGCAAGACCTTGTTTCAAAGCAAAAACAAAACGGGCTGGGCTGTCGTTCAGCCCAAAAACCCTGGGTTCAATCACTAGTACCTACCCCCTAAGAGAAAAGAAAAAAAAGAAAAAGAGAGGGGAGGGAAGGGGAGAGGAGAGGAGAGGAGAGGAGAGAAGAAAATAGGGTATTTTTGGTGCTCTGTCGACTGCACACAAGCGAGGAACACTCAGAAGAGAGGGGAGGAAGAGGCCGCCCCTCAGAGAGTAACCAGTCCCTTCCAGGGCCCCTCACCTGACTTCTCTGGTGTTCATTGACCTTCATTGCCCACCTGTCCATTTCTGAGCCAATCCCTAGCTGCTGTGAAAATCAGATGTGTTGATTGGCTTAGATCTTGAATTTCTGACCAATTGCTATCAGGGAAGCAGGGCTTTCTACGATTGGTTAACATTCTCTGAGGCTGAGATCCATCCTGCAATCACAGGGGTGCTGCTCCGTGATGAGTGATTAGGAAACCCCTCCATTTCTGTGAGAATGTTGTGAACCTGGCTGCATTTCCATGACGATGCCCTTTGCTGTACTGCCGGCCAGTAGAGAATTTCACAGATCAGAAGTCACCTGCTCTTGCGGCTCCTAGAACTTTCCCAAATCCCCACATCTAAAACTGCCGTAGTGACACAAACCGGCCCAGTTTCCTTACCTTCAACCACAGGTGGATGGAGCTCAGCCGGGAAGACTGGAGGAGCATGGTATCCCCCGGGGGCCCCCACTCCTGGGGTCACTGACCAGGTGGGGCACAGCTCCCTGCCTGGCCGTGCCACCGGTTGCTAGTGGTCCAGGGGCAGCGCTCCAGAGGCGCAGGCAGGCGGGTGGTACTGCTCCGAGGGGCAGATGCCAGCTGTCATGTGGGGAGGGCCCTGTCGCCCTTTCTGTGGATCTCGACCCTGACACGATTCTTATTTTGAGATGCCTTACTTAGGTCATGAGAAGAGCAGCAAGTGATGTGAGGCATTCAGAGGTACTGCAGAGCCGCAGGACCAAGCTCACGTAACAGCGTGTGAAGCGGGGTGGCTCCCACTCTTCCTCCTGTCCCTTCTCCATCCTCAGACTAAAGCGAAGAAGGCTCCCTGGGTGCGTCCTGACTTAGAGCACAGAGCTGTTGACAGCACAGGATGAGGTGCGTGCGTGCGTGTGTGTGTGTGTGTGTGTGTGTGCGCGTGCGCGCATGCGCGTGTTTGGCCCACGCATTTGGCGCATAAGCATGGGAGCCGAGCCCCTGTGTGTGTGTCACCACGAGAATGCACACATGGTGAGCGTATAAGTGTGTGCACAACTGCACACACTTCCTGTGCCTTTATCTCCCGAGCTCTCGGAAATGAGAATTCGCTCAGAATCTACACGGCAACTAAACCACAGTCTGTTTTGATCCCAGTGCATTTAGTTAGAGCAAAAGACCCTGAGGTCTGCGGGCCGCGGCTCACTGTCACCCTCCAGGGGAGGAAGAGCTTCATGGTAACAGAACGGGAGAGAGGTGACTTACCAGCCTTCCCTAGGAATGAATACAAATAATTTATCTAAGCAAGCGTGAAAAGAGAATGCACACTCACTCTCGTACCCTGCTCGACGCCGGGACAGCCCTCCGCGGAGTCACGGGTGGTCCGGGGCTGGAGGGCTCTGACTCTGCCACGCTTTCCCCCGTGCAGACTGGCTCGGCGGGAACTCTGGAAGTGGCCCCGGCCTGCGGGGTCAGGCCCGTCCCCAGGTGCTGCTCTGGAAGTGCTTGGAAACCTCGGACGAGCAGCAGTGGTGCAAGGCCCCAGGCCGAGTCAGTAGAACGTTCGAGTCCAGCAGAGGCTGTGGATGCATTATTCTGGACTTAAGCACACAGCCCAGGGCAAACCGAGTGGACAGCGAGGAGACAAGGGTCAGCCCTGAGCGGGAGCCACGGCCGCACGACACCAACAGCCCATGCGTGAGGTCTGCTCTCCAGGTGCACTGTCATGAATGTTTCCCGGGGTACAGGGTCCCCCAAGTCCCCTCCAGAGGACCCGAGTGTCTTAAATTTAAGTTCCTATAAAAAAAATCCTTCTTATTATAAGGCACACCACACTTTTTAACCTAGTGTTCTCAGTGTGAAGCACAGCAATGCTCTTTCTGCCCCACAAAGAGCAAGTCTGCCTCTCCGGCAAGCCCAGTAGCCTGAGCTGACCTCGGCCTGCGCTTGACGGCTGCTCCAAGCGGCCACCCGGCTGAGTCACTGAAGATAAAGCAGAAAAGCGGTGGCCGGGATGGAGCGGCTCCAGGGGCGCGGCCGTCATTCAGAGGCACCGGCGGTGGGGAGCCAGCCCTCGAAGGCCAGGCAAGCCGGCGGCTGTGCTGTGTAAACTCACCTGCAAGAAGAAGGAAAAGAAACAACGCTCTAACGTCACATGAACAGACGCACAGCTGGGGACACTTCCAGGGACAGCGTCCTCCTCGAGAGCAGTCCGCCGGCGAGGAGGAGGCGTCTTGTCGGGACTCGGGGCCGGGGTGACCGCAGCCTGCAGCTTCCCGTGCACTGGCTTTGTCGTCCTGGGCCCGGGAGGGAAGTTGTGCAGTAATTGGGAATTTCTGTGTAGCATATCTCGTTTCTAATGTGTATAATGAACTTAGTAAATTTACACACCTTACGTTTTAATGAGTATCTGACTCTACAATTGGCATGATTAATTTTTTATGGATCTTAAATTCCTCTAATGGAGACATCAGCTCTGTCCGGGGCTGCGAGGTGGCTTTGTGTGTAGCAGAAGTGCCCGCCCCCCAGCCAGTACACTTCGGTTTCTTAGTTGCCCAGGTAACAGTTTCTGTTCCAGTTCCGGTTGCTCCTGTCTTAGAAACTGCTGGTCACTGTGATGCACATTGTACAAACCCATCCCCAACGGACAAGCCATTCTGCCTCTGTACTTCCTGCTTGCTTATCCCATATAAGCCCCAGACCACCAGAGATCAGGGCCTGGTATTCTGGGAGTGAACCCGATCAGTGCCCACCGACGTAAATAAATCTGCCTCCAAATCCCGAGTGTGGCTTTGGTGTTTCTGCTGGCCGTTGCATGTGTACCCAGGCCAAGCAGGGGACTCTCTGGGCTGCTGGTGGCTTGTCAGTGTTGGTAAATCAACAGCATGCTATTTTTTTTCTTTCCTTTTCCTGATTTTCTTTTCTTTTTGAGACAGGATCTCACTAGGCAGTTCAGGCTGGACTTGAGCTCACCAAGTAGCCTATGTTGGCCTCAAACTTGAGGTGATCCTCCTGCCTCAGCCTGGGCTTACAGGAATTCACAGCCATGCCTAGCTTCTGGGACCCATTTCAAAACAGAAGTGTCACGTTCATGGGCCATCAATCTGCATGGTGACAAAACCCAAACAGATAGTTGCCCCCTGGTGTGGCGGGCCCCTTTGGAGTGAAAGTTCCCCATGTGGGCTCACCTGGGAGCTTAGAGTCCTCCTGACACCTGAGTGCTGCCATCACCCACACTGACCTAAGAGGCCCGGGGTGTGACCAGGTGTCCCCGAGACTGGAGAGGCCTGGTGGGTGCTCTGGTGCCAGTGCTGGGGACCGCACCGTAGGGTCTGTTTGGAGGAGGGCAGGTGGGAAGCCAGGTTCTCTCTGTCCATCTCTCCCCCACCTCTTCCCCTGCCTTCTATCTACTCCCACCCTGAGCTACACCCTCAACTCCTACAACCCGCTGTTTCAGCACTTCCATGCACACGTAACTATTCGCACACGGAATCAAGCCCACTTTGACATTTTAAATAAAACCCACACTGTCTTTCATTGCATCCACCCAGCAGAGATCGGCCCCCGGCCCCAACCATTCGAAGAGCGCGAGCCCGGTCCCCTCTGGCGGTCAGAGTCGGACACGGCTCGTCTTCTCCCTGAGCTCCGTTTCCATCCTGCGGCCCCTGCCCATGTCTCAGAACAACACACACAGGCGCTGGTGGACGGGCCACAGGTCGCAGCCTCGTGCACTCCCGGGCCTGGGAAGTGCCACACTCACGTCGAGCGTGCGCTCGCCTCGCCCACCTGCCCCGCACCCTGGCTCAGCAGGCTCAGCAGCAGAGCCCGGAGCTTACCACGCACAGCACCCAGGGTGCCCGCCAGGGAAACGGTCACGTCCGGAGTCCAAGGCTGCTTACTGCTGAGTGTGGGTCGGTTCTGCACCATCCCACGCAACGCTAACAAGGGATAGAGCTGAGCCGTGCAAGGGGACACCCGGGCTGGACAGCGCCATGGAGGACTTTTCCCCAAAGGTTAAGAAGTCCTCTCCCCCTGCTGTCTTTCCGAGGAATGGTCGAAAATGCGGTGAATGTTGCCGCCCCGTGCCATCCAACAGAAAGGGAGCTCTCAGAAGCGTGACGCTCTGTCCTCGCTCACTTTCTTCCCCGGCTCTGGCCCCGTGTGGCTCCAGCTCCTCCCCAAGGTCAGAATGACCACACCAGGGAAAGGTTTTGAGTGGATTCAGGACACCGAGGCAGCCAGGACAGCGCAGCTAAAGACACTGAGGGAAGAGGAGCCCAGAGCCGCTGCAGGACGTGGCTGGGGGTGGGGGGAGTTCCCCGTCGGTGGACCGACTGTGAGGAAGACTCACGGCCCTGCGTCCCTGTGGCACATCTTCAGAGTTTACACATCCGTGGTATATCTTCATCACACCTTGTGCGCCGGGAAGCTGACCACGCCGGAGCCTGGAGCCTGGGAGGAGCGCGCGTGGCCACGCCCGGGCGGCACAGGTGCCTCCACGGCAGTCCTGAGCGCCCCTCCCTGTGCCCCCGCATCCCGTCCACCGGGTTCTCCTGGCCGGCCGGGGTCGGGGACGGCGCTGAGGGAGCAGAGCGGGGTACACTGGGGAGTGGCTTCCTTGTCATCAGCAGCTGAGTGCGGGATTCCCGGCTAACTCGAGGTGTGGGAATGCCTTCCAGAAACACTTCTGCACCACAGAGCCAGGTGTCCTCCAAAACCTCAGTGCAGCGTGTCCTCAAGAGGAAGGTCTGGGTGTCAGAGCCGAGGAAAGCCAAAGCGACCTCCCGTCCACTCAGCAGAAAGACTGTTTTTTAAATAACTGTTATGCTGGGTGCAGTGGTACATACCTATAATCCCAGCGCTCTTGGGAGGCTGAGGCAGGAGGATGGCCGTGAGTTCAAGGCCAGCCTGGACTATGTAGTGAGATCTTGTCCCAAATTAAAAAAAAGAAAGAAAAAGAAAAAACAAAACAAATAAATAGCTGTCAAAAGGAGTAAACAAGGAGTGTGTGGCCCAAAAATGTAGTTTACCAGCAACTATATAATGAACACAACTATTGCATTGTTTCTCTGGATGTGTGATATTGCTAGCTTTGTAATATGCCATTTATTCTCCTTGTAAATAAACATCTACTTTTCCTCTGTTCTTGTGGCTGTAACTCGTCATCCCATACTTTCTTTTATTTTTTGTCTTTTTTGAGACAGAGTCTCGCTATGCAGTTCAGGATGGCCTTGAGCTCACTTTGTAGCCCAGGCTGGTCTCGAACTTACAACGATCCTCCTGCCTCAGCCTCCCGAGTGTTGGGATTACAGGCGTGTGGCACCCCATACTTTAAGGAGTCCCCTCTGAAGTGCTGGGATTTCACTCTCTGCCCGAGCTTCGTGGCCTTTGTGAGTACACCTCGCCCTCCGACCGGGCCTCCATCCCACACCTCTGCCCCGCGCCTGTCCCGTCCTGGAGGGGTTTTGTGTCTTATTCTAAGCCTTGGTTTGCTGCTGTCCCCTCCCCCAAAGCCCTTTCAGATCTATGGCTGCAGGCAGGATGGGCCCCGATCGCCGCTCTGCCAAGCTGGGACCTAGGGGGCCTGGGGCCCGAGCCCGAGTGCTGCTGGGCACACAGGCAGGCTGCGTGCAGGCTGATGAGCTTCCGCAAGTCACCTGCTCCCCAGGCCTGGGTGCTGGCCCTGCAGGCGTGTCCCGTCCAACTGGAAAAACCAGACGTGGTGGCCGCAGACTGGTGACCGGTGACCGGTGACCGCAGGCAGGTGACAAGTACAGGATAAGGGCTTCCAGGTGCAGGCAGAGAGGAAGGAAGCCGGATCAGCCAGCGAGGGCCCTCGAGCCCTGAGGTCCCAGAGGGTCGGGCCAGCTGGGCGGGGCGGGGCACGGTCCACACAGCTCGGGGGCAGGCGGAGGCTCAGGGCTCGCTGTCCCCCTTCCTGCCATGCAGTGCGGCTCCTGCTCAGCACAGCGCTGGCCGCCAACCTCTGCCTCAGTGTCCTCCCGGGCCAGAGCAGGCAGGGGGAGGCTGAGGCAGGAGGATCATAAGTTAGAGCCCAACATGGGAAATCTAGCAATTTAGAGAGACCATGTCTCACCAAAATAAAAATGAAAAAGAGCAGAGGACGTAGCTCAGTGCAAAGGCCCTGGGTTCAATCCCTAGGGTTGCAGGAAAAAAAGATTGTGATTATTTAATACAGTTAGTTTCACAGCTTATTTCTTTTTAGATGTCAGCCATTCCCATTGTCTCCTCTCTCCTTCCCCATCGCTGCTCTTCCGTCCCAACTTCTCCTCACAGGGGCGCTGATCTGGAGGGAACGACCCAGCCTGGGGTCCTCCCTGCTGCCGGGGCTGCCTCCTGTCCTGCTTCGGGAGCTCAGGAGCAGGGCCCTCACAGTGGACATGCCGCCTCCGCCCGCCCTGGGGAATCCGCTCAGCCGCGCTCACCGTTACCTCCGCTGTCAGAAGCCAGCACGGTGATCAGGGTAGGAAAAGACGGTGGAGGGTCAGGGGCTCACGGAGGCCGAGTCCACACCAAGGACACTCAGGCCGAGGGTCCCAGGGCGGGGACGCCAGAGCACGGCCTGAGCTGCTGCCTGGGTTCTCCTGGACACGGGGCCATCTCCCTGGGGGATCTGAGGCCTGCCTCCTCAGCCCACCACAGGCCACCCCTGGGGGTCCCTTCTCATTCCCCAAGCTCGGAGACCCCTGCAAAGGGTGATGGGACCACCGGCCTCTGCTTCACCCCCAGCCCCCAGAACGTGGGTCTCTCTGGAGACAAAACTCAGACACCCACACTTCCCTGAAGTCCGTCTGCAGAGAGCCCCGGGTGTAAAATGGAATGTGGAGATAGAGCATCCCCCACAGACACGCACACACACGTGTGCAGGCATACAATGTATACATGTGTGCATATGTGCACACGTACACAATACACACATGCACTTGTGTGATGGAGGACAGACCCGCATTACTGGACCAGAACATTCTATCACTTGGCTGAAGCCCTGAGCTCTCTCATCTGCAGCCTATTCCTGGGAGCCCCAACTTTTTTCTTTTTCTTTGAGACACAGTCTTGCTAGGTAGCCCAAGCTGGCTTTGAACTCACAGTGATCCTCCTGCCTCAGCCTACCATGTGCTGGAATTACAGACGTGTGCCACCATGCCTGGCAGGATCCCTGCTTTTAAATCTGGGCTTCTACCCCATCGACCCTGGCCTGGCCAACACCACCCTCAGCAATGCCGCCCCTCCTCCATAGGCGGCACCTTTGGCCCTGCTGGTTAGCTGCATTCAGACGTTCAGAGCACAGCGCACCCCAGCCCTGGCTGCTTTACCCTTGAAAGGTGACACTGAGCGCCTCTCCTGGGCCCTTGGGAGAGGCTTCTCAGCCCCATAGGCAGGAGGCGATCCCCCTCCCCCACTTCCTAGTCACCTCTGCTTCCCTGTGTGCAGGACAAGAGCTTGTCTTCATGACGCCCTACTGTGTCTCACGGAACCCTGCTGTGATGAGCAGGGCTGTGTGCTCCCTGGCCCAGACGATGTTGTTCGAGGTTCATAGGTGCCGGGCTTGCTTTATGCCTCAACTCCTGCATGCGCGTCATGCCTCAGACAGCCCCTGGCGCTCCGAGGCCGAGGCTGAGGCCAGGCCCAGCAATCTGATCCACTGAGTTTACAACAGAGGCAGGGCAGGGGGCTCCGTGACAGCGCCAGTGCTTTATCTTTTTTTTTTTTTTTTTTGAGACAGGGTCTCACTGTGCAGTTCAGGCTGGCCTTGAGCTCACTTTGTAGCCCAGGCTGGTCTTCAACTCACAAAGATCCTCCTGCCTCAGCCTCGTGAGTGCTGGGATTATAGGTGTGCTCCACCATGCCCAGCTCGGCTCCATTGCTTTCTTGCCAATAAGAGCCAGAAAATAAAATAAAAAAATAAAAATAAAAAAGTAAAAGCGCTGCATTTCTGGTAAGTAGGGCCATGCCCGGCCAGCCCACTGCAGCCAGGGAGACGGGGTCCACCCCAGGAGGAGTAAAAAGAGGATCTGCTGTGGCTTCATCTAAAACTGCCACATTTATTTCCGAGCCCTGGGCATAGGTTGAAGTCAAAGGACAGTGAGATACACAGCTGCTCCACGTCGCCCGCGCAGAGTGAGGCGTGGCTCTCAGGCTGGGCTCCTTCCACGTGAGTGTCAGCACGTTCTCACGGGTCACCCTGGCCGTAGGACCTGCTGGAAAACTGTCGGTCCGTATGCACGTCTCAGGGCCACAGATGGGCGAGGCCCCTCCTGTACAGTGTGCAACCTAGCCCAGCACACAGGGCAACCCCAGGTATGGAAGTCTGTGTCTGGCCGGCCTAGCCCTAGCCCTGGACTGATTTGATCCTGGTGTGCACTCTCCACTCCTTGGAAAAGAGCCTTGCGTTTGGTGAGCTCCTTGGAGTTTTTGGTGAATCTCATCCTCCACAGTGGGGATACAGCTGCTGTGCGGACCGGAGGGACAAGGAAGTAACTCTCCGAGGGGTGGTCAGTTAGCACAGGGTGAACCCGAGCTCTGAGCCAGACCCCCACTCTTGGGGCTGAGCGGTCCTCGCCCTGTGCCCCCGGGTCCCTGTGTGGTGGTCATGGCGACCGTGGTGACCCAACCGGTCTTCCCACCCCACGGCCGCTGATGCTGTCCAGGGGTCCTGGCGTCCACGACGGCTCGGTGCTCCTTGGCGCAGTGCCCCGGCTGTGTCCCTCCATGGTGTGGCGGCCCCGACCCCTTTCTGTAACTCACAGGGCGCAGGGCCTTCCGGTTCCTGACTTGTTTTTTTGAGGATCCCAGAGATTCAAACACTAATTTTCACTTGGTTGTTCTTGTTTTTTATTTCACAGGATTGTAGCTGGTTTCTCTTCTAATTTTCTTCGCTTTCTTTCCATAGCACTGGGACTGAGCCCAGAGACTGCACACGGAGCTCCATCTCCAGCTCTTTTTAAAATGTCTTATTTCGGAGACAAGGTCTTGCTAAGTCACTAAGTTGCCCAGGCTGGGCTGAAACTTACCATCCTCCTGCCTCAGCCTCCCAGAGTGTGCGGATGATTTCTGAAGGACACAGAGGTAAAGGAGGAAGTAGCTCTTTTTCTTTTCTGCAGCAGAATTATTTACTGGTTTTACAGCCAGGACAGAAAGGCTTTATGACCTGGGACAGAACCGCTGCTGCCCTTCTTTATGAGTTTTCTTGAGTCACTGAAGAGTAAATACAGGGCATGTTTACATAACCTGCACAGCGGCATCAGGTGGAACCAGGGCCCTAGGACAGGGCCTGCTGGGAGCCTCGGGACAGGAGAGGCTGGGTGGGGAGCGAGGCTGGGGGGAACCTTGCGGGACGTGGGGGGACTCTCCGTGCTCCTGGGGTTAGTTAGCATAAGATAGGGGTCACATCCTGCGGGGACTTTCATTAAGGCGAGGGGTCCCAGGGTTTCGGGGCTCACTGCTGTATTCCCTACCAGACCACTGGCAGAGTCCGGGTGTGTCCTGAGCCTGAGACGCTGTGACATACACAGTGCCTCGCCTGGCTCAGGTTCTGTAGCCGAGGTGTCACAAGGCGGCCTGGCATCAGGGCGGCACTTGCGTGGCGGCCATACCAAGGGCCCCCACACGGCCTCTCTTGCTCTTTCCAGAAAGCCACTGTTGCCATCGCGAGGGTCCCATAGAACGCTCCTCAACCCCGAAGGTCCCAGCTCCAGGTGCCACTGACAGTGAACTTGGGGACTCGGTTCCCAGCACCGGAACTCGGGGTGGCCCTGGAACCAGGGCAGAGGGGCTTCTGGGGCTCCTGTGAGAAGTGCTAGAGCTGCCTCCTTGCTGCGGCTCCCGGATGCCTCTCCTGCCCCTCCTGGGGGACACAGGGCGTGTACCGTGTCCCTCACGGAGACAGCGAACTGTTTTGAAATGAAGTTATCTCTGGCAGCAAACACATTTTAAATTCCCTTGCTAAGCCCTAGCTAACATGTGTCCTGAGCCAAATAATGAAAATTAAACTGCTTACTTTGGGAATTAATTTTAATCAAAAGTCAAATAAAAAAAAGAGAGGGGCAGAAGATGATCCGCGGTGCGAATGAAGCTCAGGAACGACTCTCCTGGGCCCGTCATGATCAGGGCCCCAGCCCGGGCCGCAGGTTCCTCAGCCACCTGCTCTGCCCCTGGCGGGGACAGGGCACAGAGGCAGAGCCCAGAGGGCAAATGTACCCACCACTCTGGGGAAGGGAGCCGCACCCTCCGGGACCTGCCAAACACCCCTGCCGAGGCCAGACCAGCACTCTGGATGGGCCTTGAGGTCTCCAAGGTCCTCGTCCCAGAGCATGAACAGCTGTGGTCCCAGGAGGTGGGAAGTTTCACAGATTTTTAGGGAAAGAAGGAAGAGGTACCTGCTCCTTTGTCCCTGCCATGGGGCAGAGTGTCGGATGGTGACAGCTGGAGCTCAGGGCCTCGACGCTGGTGGAGAAAGGGTACCAGGAAGAACAACCCCAAATTGTGCAGGAAGCCAAGGACAGCTGGTCTACCCTGGTCTGGCTGGGGCTGGGGGCTTACCAGGGACGCCTCTGATGCTCTAGGACTCTGTTAAGGGACACCAGGGAGAAGGGCCTGCCAGGCCCAAGACTCAGCCGTGAGCAGACGTGAGCTTGACCGGCCAGAGCTCTGCTGTGTACACTGAGGTCACAGGAAGCGGATCTAAGGAAACACTGCTGCTGGCTAGCAGTGCCTACGGCCCATTACAGCTATTCAGGCCCCTGCCTGGCAGCAGGCAGTGGGCACCGAAGCCATGCATACAGGAGGCAGAGCCCACAGCTGTCCCACCAGAGTGCTGGACACAGGATGTGTGCTGAGGGCAGAGCCGGGGACAAACAGTGGACCCTCAGGCCAGCAGAGCAGGGGGCCCACAAACGCTCCTCCTCCTGCACCCCCACTGTACAAGGGGAATCTCAGATCACAAGGTGCCTAGGGTCCCTCCAGCACTGGGACCCGGTGTGCTGGGGCTGGTGGGAATTACTGCCAGGCCCCGAGCTGGCCTGGAGGCGGCCTGTCCACCTCAGGAAGAGGACAACATGGCTGGCAGAGGAGGAGGGACAGGGAGTGGGCAGGCTTTCTCCTCCACCACCGAGGCTCCACACGCCCCCTCGACCTCCTGCTCCCTGCACCTGCTCCCTCTGGGTGTCAGAGCAGCGAGGCGTGGAGCACTAGGGGTCCCTGTGAACAGAGGCGCTCGGTGTCAGGGTCTCTCCCGAGCCCTGTGCTGGCTCCCCTGTTCCTGCTTGGAGACGTTACCTGGTGCCAGGCTGTCTCTGAATGGGAAATCTGTCCACCTATCGAGCAGGAGGTAGTGTAAACCTCTGCCAGGGGGTGGGCATGGGGTTCAACAAAAGGGCATTGTTAGTTTTACAGCGGGCGTGCGGAGCCTTGGAGACGAGCCCCAGGGCTCGCCCCAACCGCAAGAACAACAAGCACGGAAGCGTTTCCTTGTTTGAACTGGGCCCTGCATTCACCTGAAGAACCTGCCGGGACCCTGGGGGAGGAGGAAGCCCCGCCTCTCCAGAGCCAGACGCGCAGATCCAGGACCTCGTCCCTCCTTCGAGGCGGCCAGAGGCCCTGTGTCACCTTGGCTAGAGGTAGCTCCGTCCCTGCCTTTTTAGGAACCTCGGTTCGCTCTTCTGACGTGAGTGCCTGTGGGACACTTGGAGCTGGGTGACGTTAAAACGAAGTGCAAAGTTCTCTTCCCTATCTTTTTAATTACATTGCTTAATAAAGTAATTAACTAATTAATAGTTAGTTGTTTGAGACAGCCTGTCACTGTGCAATTTTGGCTGGCCTTGAACTATTTAACCCACACTGGCCTCGAACTCATGGCAATTTTTCTTTTAGACATCAGTTTGATGTTGGCTGCTGTGGGTGTTTCCTGCAGGCGCAGAGCTTCTCTGGACATTCCCATGGGGGTTTCTGAGCACACTGGAAGAGTCTCTTCAGGGCGCGTGCCTGGGACAGGGGTTTCTGCACGAGTCTTGCATTTGCTACTGCAGGAGGCTGGGAAGTTCCTCGCAGTAGCTCTGCCCATTTGGATGGGGCTCGATGGCCCTGGCCCTGGGGGTCCAGCTCCGGCCATTCATAGCTTTGCAGTGCGGAGCGGATTATTGCCACCTGGTGTGTAGAAAATGGGTACTTGCATTTTATGATGACAAAAATAAATATATAACATAAAACTTTCACCTCCTTTGTGGGGCTGGAGATTGAACTCAGAGCCTTTGCGCTGAGCTGCACTCCTTGGGTGCCCGCCTTTTTACAAACTTGGATACAAGTTCTGTCTAAATCACTAAGCTGCCCAGGCTGGGCTCAAGTTTGTGCTCCTCCTGCTGCAGCCTCTCAGAGTTGCAGGCGTGTGCCACTGCGCCTGGCTGCTTTTGTCCATTTTAAGGGCACAGTTCAGGGAAACTGCCGTGCAGCCATCTCCAGCACCCACCCCAGAACACTCTCATTTCCCGGATGGGAGCTCTGTCCGCATGAGACCGCGTCCTCAGCCCCACCCCACCCCGCTGCACCCTGCCTCTGCCTGTCGCTGAGTGCCGGGGGCCTTGTGTAAGTGACGTCGTGTAGCACAGGCCTTCCAGCTTCTTTCACCCAGGCTAGCGTCCTTGTCCTCCACCCGCACGGTACCGCTCCTCTGGCTTTCCTCTGTGCCCGCACGCCCACTGATGATGTGCACGCACGTGAGCATGTGTGTGAGTGCGTGTGTGGGCACGTGTGTGTGCGTGTTTAAGAGCGACAGCATCCGGTCTCTTGCGCCTCTTGCCTGGCATCTCCGCATCTGGGGAGGCCAAGAGGGTGTCCAAGGAGGGGCGCGAGGTGAGGTCAGGCTGGACCCACAGGCTGGCCTGGAGCCTGTGACCATAATGAGGTGTCAGGCCGGGGCTGGCTGCCCGTCCCGGGATCCAGGACCCACAGCCGGCCCTGGACTCAGGCCGGCAGGTGGCTGGGCTGGGAAGGGGCCGCTGTGCGGCTGCCCCTCGCTGGCTTCGTTTCACCGAGTCTCCCCTTTGACTCACGCAGGCTTCCTGGGGCTTGGGTGCCCCACGCACTGCCTTGTTCTCGTTGATACGCGGTGCTGAGCGCGCTCAGTCACGCCCAGCGTTAATCACTGTTGTTTTTCTCCTCCAGAGGAGTCAGATCGTTAAGACAGTGCAACTTCATTCTTGCCGTGACTCGGCTTTCTGGGTTTATTCTCCAATAGTTCCTCTGCTTCCGTGTCGTGGTGGCCTCCTCCTGTCCTGCACTTCCTGTGGCCTTAGAGAGAGGCCCCACCACAGGCCAAAGCAGGGAGAGAAGCGGAGACGCAGCCTGGGCGGGCTGGTTCCCCCGATCACGCCTGCACCGCCCGGAAGTGAGGCTGTGACCTGACAGTCCTGGCCAGGCGTCCTCTTAGAGGTGGGCAGAGATGCGCCTCTACACCGGCCCAGGAGCCCTGGCCAGGCGTGGCCGGGTGGTGAACGACTTGATTGGAAAACCGGTGACCAGGAAGTGTGGGGAACCAGCACATGCACGAGCTGTGGAGCTGCTGGGGTCCCGTGTGAATGTCCACCAGCGGGGACCTCACCACGAGAGGACTTCAATAACTAAATGACCCGCTCTGCGGCCGCCAGCTGGCCTCTTCTCTCTGGAGCTCTCCTCACCTCCCGGTGGGCTCAGGAATGGGGCCCTGGTGGCAGGGATGGCAGCTCCCGTGAGCTCAGCAACATGGACTTCCAACCACCAAGGCCACCCTGCCCGCGGCCACCGTCAAATTCTCAACCAGCCAGTAGCAGGGACAAGACTGGGTCCCGGAGGTGGCACTGCTTCCTGGCATCATCTGCCAGCGACCCAGTGGCGGGCTGATTACCCTGGACTGGGGCCTCAGGGAGAGGGTAGTGCTTTGTTCATGCAGGAATAGTTTGGGTACAAATACGCCTTCCCCGCCCGCAGTTCTGGGTCTGCCAGGCTCCCCCCACCCTGCAGCCGTGGGCTCGGCACCGCAGTGGAATGGCCTTTCCAGTGCCCGGTGAGGTGGTGACTCCCTGCAAGGCTGGGCCGTGTGCTCCTGAGGGCTGTGTGTGCTCTGAACCAGGGTCCAACACACGGCGCTGTTGCTCCCAAAGCCAGAATTCGGGGTCTGGGAATCAAGGGGCGGAGATGTGAGCGCTACGACTCGCCATCGCTCGCGGTGACCCACTGACGAAATTTCCGCTTCCCGTTCTCTTGGCTTTACGCTCTGCTGGCCTAGAAGTCTTCATTCCGCGGGAAGCAATGGTTCTGCCAAGAGGCAGAAGGAAGGTCATTAAATCAGAACTGGAGGGGCCCCCTGGCCCCCATGGCCTCCCCCTGTCTCTGACTCAACAGGCAAAGAAGAGCATTGCTGTAGAAGCTGGAGATTTGTCACATCACCAAGGGGAAGGTGACCACTGCTTTTCAGGGAAGGTCAGGAGGACGGCCCGCAGTGCTGGAGAGTCCTCAAGCCATCTCACAGCTCTCCGTGCTTGTGACTAAGGCAGGGACAGCGACCTCGGGCCCAGACCTTCAGGAACAGAGGTTTGGGTCCCTCCACTTGACCAGTCCACTGCGACCAGAGGCGGACAGCTCAGAATGGTCACTGGAAGGAAGCAGTTCTAAGTACCAGGAACAGAAGTGGGACTGTCGTGCGTATTTATTCCTTGTTTTGTTCTGGATACTACAATACGCATGCTTATTTTCCTTCCTTTCTTGTTTCTTTACTGTGTAACCTAAGATGCATTAGCCAGACATGGTGGCACATGCCTGTACTCCCCGCACTTGGGAGGCTGAGGCAGGAGGATTGCTGTGAGCTCCAGACCAGCCTGGGCTACATAGTGAGTTCAAGGCCAGCCTGAACTGCATAGTGAGACCCTATCTCAAAAAGACCAAAAAAAACCAGCATAAGATGTGTTGACTTCATATCATTGTATTAAGCACCGCTTATTTGACACCATGGCCTTTAAGCAATGGGACATCGAGGACTTCACCTCCTCTCTGGAGAAGGGATCCGTATACCTTCTCGGCTGCGTACAAAAGAGGTGTGTGAGGTTTGGCGGAATTTCAGCCTCGTCATTGTCTTCATTTGGAGATTAACGTGGCTTAAGGAGACCAGTGTGGGGTGGACCTGGGGTGGCTCACTTCGCACACACCCCGCTGGCTGGTTGTGGGGTGCTCCTACTCCTGGATGTGCCTGCAGGCTGTTTCTGGCAAGGACAGCGTGTGACAGGGGGTCTGCGTGTGCACAGCCCTCCCGGTGCGAGCGAGCAGCGTCCAGGCTGAGGGTCGGAGCGGGGCGGAGGCGGTAGGCGGTGAGTGGGCCTCTGCCCCTCTGCTCTCCCCGGTCCCGACCTTCTCCCAGCCACAATGCGCCTGGCCCTCCGTCCCTCAGCTGTGTGTCGAATCCACATCGCTGGCTCCCAGGCCTCGGAACCGCACCTCAGGCTGTCCTGGGTCTGCAGCTTGTGCCGGGCAGACTCTGGGGTTTGTCACCTGCAAAACCCTGTGAATGGATTCTTGCTGATGCATCCCCTCTGTATCTCCTATTGATTCTGATTCTCTGGAGAAGGTGGACGTTGGGAGGGCAAAGAGGATAATAACATGCCACGTGGTGTGTGGGTGGACCGAGGGGTCACTTTTAAGAGGCCCTGAACACACTGCCAAGACAGGAAGAGGTGAGCGGCCACCAAGCACACCCAGACCTGTCCCCCACCCAAGTCTGCACTCGAGGTCTTCTGCTCAGCCTGCTGGACAGCAAGGTGGAGAGGACAGTCTGCCCCGGGTGTCTGCGTCCCAGGAAGGGGCCTGGGCCCAGGCAGCTGAGCTGCGAGCCATTCGGCTGGCTGTGGCGTGGTCAGCTCGCTCTCCGCAAGCAGTTCGCGTTAGTGGGGCGTCAGGCGGGGGCCCTGGGCTTCCCTTGCCCTCCCCCCTCCTGCAGCGGTCTGTGAACTGACACGGGGCAGCAGGAAAGTCACTGGAACTCTTGGGTGCACGGACAAGAGCCCCTCAAAACTTCGGACTCGAAGGGCCGATGCTGGGGACTTACAGAGCGCTGGCTGCAGAGGGGACGCGTTTGCCAAGCACGCTGATGCCCGGCGGGAAGCACCGGGAGGAGGGCGCAGGCGAGGAGAGCAGCTGGGGGCAGCTGGCCTGGGGCGGGGGGCACCTTCAGCGATGACCACTTCCTTTGCGCAGCTTGTACAGCCACTCCGGCGCCTGCAGCTCCTGGGAGTAACCAGGTCCAGAGCCAGATGCCGGGGCGCCTCCTGGGGTGGCTGCTCTGGCTCCTACCGTGGTGTCTGGGGATGGGGTGGATCCCAAAGCCCCTGCCTGCCCGCAGATGGCCAAGCTGGCACAGCCTCTGCAGGAGGGAGGAGCTTTGTGGGCTGAGGTGTCTCTGCCCCGCCCACCCCTGCCCACCCCTGCCCTGTGTAGCCCTGGGAGGGAGGGCAGAGGCCCCAGAGCCCAGATCCGCAGCCTGGGCAGGGTCCTGGGCTCTGGTGTGATGTCCCCTGGGGCCGCCTCCTGGGTCTTCCCCCGGGCTCCCGAGGGGTGCGTGTGGGTGTTCCCTGGGTGGCCTCTTTCCCCGTGCAGCCACGGCCGTGCGCTGGGCACCAGCTCCGGTCAGGCATCTCAGGAAGAGCCTAAGTCCTTGGGTCCAGAGCAGGGTCTGTCCTGGACCTGCCCGGCCCTGGTCGCCGCCCCTGCCTGGCTCCTGACCTGGGGCGTATCTGGGGGCGTAGCCCTGGGCCCTGTGGCACCGCCCCTTGAAGTGAAAGCCGGCTGGGCCCAGCGGGCCTGCCAGAGGGACGGGGCTCAGAGAGAGGTGGCGGCGGGGAGCGCAGTGCCACAGGTGAGTACAGGTGAGCCCAGCGTGCGCTCTGGCTGGGTCCCGAGGGTGGTTTCCGGCGGGGGGTCCTGGGCCTGGACCTGGGCTCCCCCAAACAACCTGGCGGGGTGCAGAGCTGAAGCAGAAGCAGGTGTGGGCTGAAGGTGCACTGGTGTGGGCAGGTAGAGCACCTTCCTGGGGCCAGGGGACCCCACTCCACCCCACCCAACCTGTCCCGGCTGCCTCCCTGGGCGTCGCATGGCTGGGTTGGTGGCCTGCAGGTCCTGGCCCGTTGGCTGGAAAGGGGGGCACCTCAGGGTCCCAGGCAGGGCCGGCCCCCGTCACCCACCCTCGGTGTCCCCACCAGGTGTGCCCTTTTCCCTGGGAGGCAGGGAAGCTCTTCGGTGCTTTTCTTTGTCTCGGGAAAATCTCGGCGGCCGGGTGTGTTACCTGAACTCCTTCTGCTCCTGCCTGCCGACGCGGTGGGGAGGAACTGGAAACTTGGAGATGTCAGGGCGATAGGCCGCCGCGGGACAGCACCAGCCGCGGGACAGGGCCGGAGCTAGCCGGGCAGGCGCCCTGGAGCGTCTGCCCCCAGGTCCCGTGCTGAGGACTCAGAAGGGTGGCGGGGGTGTCCTGTGGGACACCTGGCAGCTGCAGAAGAGGAGCTGCCCCAAGGCCTGAAAGTCTGTGCATCCATGCCTGGTGGTGCTGGGTGTGGGTAGCCACGGGCACCGGAAGGTGGCGATTGCGGGGCAGAAGCCCAGAGCTGGCACAGCAGGGGAGCACCTGTGTGCCCCTCCCCAAGGCCAGCAGGGCGGCCCCGATCCCATTCCAGAGCAGTCCAGCCGGCCTGTCTGTGCGGAGTCCGGGGCCCGTCGGGAGGGACGAGGGCTCGGGGGTTCCAGGTGGGCCTGTGGGCAGTGTCCCCGATGGACACGGCAGGTGCCTGGTGCTGAGGCAGAGCCCAGAGCAGTGCCCGGTGCTTGCGTCCCCAGGCTCCAGCCTGCCAGAGCCACTCAAGGAGTGGAAAGTTACAGCGGCTGTCCTTGCTTGGGAGCCTCGAGTGAGGCGGGGGTTGTTGACCCAGGTGGAGGTGGGGAGGGCCCGCAGGAAGTGAGGAGGGGCCGTGTCGGGGAGGAGGGCCTGGGAGGAGGGGGTATAGGAGTCCCTGCAGGAGGGGTCAGGACTCCTGTCCCCGTGACCCTCCTGGACAGGTGAGGCGAGGAGGAGATTCGGGCACCGCAACCTGGTTCCACGCCGCAGTCGCCGGATCCCTCCCTGTCAGCTGCTGAGCAGGCTGGCCCTGTGGACGTTACCTGGGTCCCAAGCCATCTCCCCCACGCCCCCCTCTGCCACAAGGCAAACCCTGGCCGTGGCTCCCTCACTGGCTGCTGACCCGTCTGACCCGTCCTGGTGAGCCAGGGCACCGTAACTGAAGGAGTACATCTGGCCACTTTGATACCACAACTAACTGTGGGCCTCAGGGTGAGGGGTGCAGCTGGGCATCGTTGCTAGCTCTTTGTAATGTGTTTGGCTCCGTGCAGGGAAACTGAGGCAGAACAATCGGGAAACTCGCTCAACACCTCCGTATCCACGGGACAGCACCTGGGGTGGGGACAAGGACCCTGCGAGAGAGTCCGCAGCCCCACCCGGTCCCCGACCTGGGCCCACTGGGAGGAGGAGATCAGGCAGGCCTGGGGACCCTCACGCTGCGGTCTAACCCCGGTGGGACTCCTGGGGAGCTTCGTGGTAGCCTGCGGTGATCGGACTGGGCCTCACGGCTGTGCCAGCTCTGGGCGTGGGACCCGGGGTCTTCGCTGTCTCCCGAGCCCTCGAGAAAGGTCGGAGCTTGGCACCGAGTGCAGTGTGAGCTGGGGCCGGGCAGGAGGACGGCCGAGCTGCGAGGGGTGGTGTTCGGGACTGAAGATCTGGAAAGTGCCCGGCTGGCGGGCGGGGGCAGCCTGGGCCCGGGAGCCCCGAGGAATCCGGAGGGCGAGTCCGGTGGTGTGTGAGGATCCGGCTGCAGGAGCACCGGCACTGCGGAACTGAGCGAGGTGTGGCGGCCTTGGCAGTCCTGGCCCAGACCCCGCGGCAGAGGCCTGGCAGGGAGGAGGCTGGCTCTCGGCTCTGCATTGGCTTCTCTGCCAGCCAGTGCCTGGGCCCCCGGGAGGGCCCCGAGGGCAGTTTGCACTCCTCAGGGGTTCGTCTCATCACGCTGGGGACCCGACATGGCGCTGTGGGTCCCAAAGGAAGCAGAGCTGGACCCGGCCTTGGCTTCCCAAGCTGCCAGGCGGGGGGGAGGCGAGAAGTGGCATGCATGTGGGGAAGATATCTGGGGGGACAGTCAAGGCTCCTGGGAGGAGGACAGAGGGCTGTGGGCAGTGACCTGTATGGTACACAGCATGGGCTTTGAAGAGGGCAGGTGATCCAAAAATAGAGCAGATGCAGGGCCTCCCCACTGAGATATATCCCAAGCCTTGTTTTGTGTTTTAGTTTGAGGCAGGGTCCTGCTAAGGGGACAAATTACTCAGGCTGGATTTGAACTTGTAACCCTCCTGCCTCAGCCTCCCAGAGTGCTGGGATTATAGGCATTCACCACCATACCCAGCCAAGATGTGCCCTCACCCCACATCGGGGAGCTGGAGAGGGGTGGTGTGTGACCAGCTGAGCTTCAGGCACCTGGGTGGTGGCCTGCAGGGGCCCAGGGCAGAGGCAGCCAAGGTGGCCTCTGGACATTGGTCATGATGGCATTTGTACAAGCGCAGTGGGGACAGGAAAACTGGTCATCTCAGATGGGAGAGAGGCCGGCAGGCGGTGGATGTGTGTCGAAGCACACATATAATTTTTAGTGTCTTCAGACAGCACAGAAACTCTTTTCGGGTGAGATTGGGTTGGCAGATGACACAAGCCCAGGCTTTGTTCTTCTTGTTTGCTCGAGGTGTGATAGACAGTGTCAGGTTCCCTACAAGGCCCCTGCTTTCCAAGGGGCTGTCCTGGCGGGGGGCCAGTGAGCTCACCTGAACTCAGGACGTTGTTTTCTAGGGACGGTGGTTTTGAATTTTGCTCTGTGGAATTTTGATTACAAAAGACACATGATGTCATGATTAGAGCCTTCTAATGGGTTGGAGTGTTTTGGTTTTTTGAGGTGAAGTTTTACTAAGTTGCCCAGGGTAGTCTTGAACTCATGATGACTCTCCTGCCTCAGCCTCCTGAGCAGCTGGGACTAAGGTGTGTGCCTCCATGCCTGGCTAGGAGTGACCTTAAAAGATCATCACATCTCTGCCTGGAGCTAGAGCCCAGAACTGCTCTAGGATGTGCTGGAGGCCAGCCTTACTTGAACTTTCTTTGTTTTTTTTTTTTTTTTTCTTTTTCTTTTTCTTTCTTTCTTTTTTTTTTTTTTTTTTTTTTTTTTTTTTT